GAAAACAACAAATGCTTTGGGTGTGGCCCTGTGGGAGATTCCACTGAGCACACTGTGCCCCACTTTCCTGCCCATGAACAGTAGGAGAATAGCTAGCTGTGTATCAGTGAAACTCCTGAATGTATAGTATTTTGTAACAAGAGCAATAGAAAATTAGTACAACAGGGATGTTCTTCAAAATATTCTATAGCCAAGACGGCCCGGAGCAGGTGAGCTACCCATCAGAATGACCAATCCAGGGCATCCTTCAGCCTTGAAATGTGCCCATGCAGACCCTTGCCTTACATGCTTGGACTTCTATTTTTATTTTGGGATATTTGCATATACAGTGATATATTTTAAGGTATCGAGGATGAGACCTAAGTCTAATCATAAAATTCACTTGTTTCATGTATATCTTATATACCTGGCCTGAATATAATTTTATGTGATATTTCATGGTGTGGTGTTTTCTGCTTGAGGCATCATGTATATGCTCAGAGTTTTGGGCTTTGGAGCATTTCAGGTTTTGGATTTTCAGAACAGGGAAGCTGTTCAACCTAAAAAATATTTCTTAGCTATTCATGCTTCTCGACCTCTAAATGGCAGCCTTTTATAAGGGAAAATCTGTTTACTGCATCTTTTTAAAAGTCATGAAAGGGATATTCTTTATAACCAGCAATCCAGTTGATAGTTCTACAGTTTTACTTCCTGTCTACATTTATTTATATTTATTTTTCAGAACTGAGATTGAACTGGAGCCTTTGTACCAGGTTACATCCCTGGCCCTTTATTTATTTTACTTTGAGACAAGATCTTGTGAAGTTGCTAAGTTGCCTGTAATGCTCCTGCCTCAGCCTCCCAGAGAGCTGGGGTTGCAAGCATGTGCCACCACGGCCTGCTCTGTTTACACTTCTAGCTTCATCAAATTTCTGCTAATTTGCCTTTACAGTTTGAATAGTGCTTTGCTCCTTGACTCTGCCACTCTCCCAGTCCCCTCTAACAAGCATCGCTGCATCCAGGATCCATCCCCAGGTCCAAACAGAGTTTCTGGAGTTCAGAAGCCTTCCTGGCTGACACAGTGATGGGAGACGCTCGGTGTTGCCAGCGTCACATTAGAGCGAGTGAAATTAGCTTAATATGTTTGTCAACCATCAGCAGGCTCAGCCTCCCCAATTATGCTGTCTAATTAGATTAGAAGCTGACAGCTGAGAGCATGCCCTTGTGACATTTCAGTTTGCGTCTGAAGATGAGGAGCACACAACCCCACTTGTTTACCTCATCTAAACCCAGATCCTCTTCCGAGTTGTTACAAGAACTGATTTTGGCAATTAGCTGTCGTTTGTATAACATCCGTTCATCTGCTCAACATAACAACAGAGGGTGCAGACACGGGTCTTAGAGGAACCCTGGGCCGTCAAGCTGAGCTCCAACTCGTAGTCAGAGAGCTCAGTGAGATGTTGGTTTCCCCTCAAATCCCCAAATGATATGATGAATGTTGTTAACAGTTGTGTGTGGTGGTTGGACCTGCTCATAGAGTTGAAAATGGACACACACACACACACACACACACACACACCACCATAACCACCACCACCAGATTTAGAAATAAAGCTCCTGGATCACATGGTAGGCATTTTATAGGTTACAGAGTGTTACCCAGAGATTGTGCAGAAGGCAATAAATTTCCACTCTGATTTTAAAGGGGGAAAAGAAAGATTCCCCTCCCAAGAGCCATTTTCAGTTTTAGCTACACACAGGGTGTTGCCAGGGATTTCATCGTGAGCTTTTTCTTTTCTTTTTTTTTTTTTTTTTTTTGGTACTGGGGATTGAACTCAGGACCTTGCACTTGCGAGGCAGACAGCCACACCACTGAGCTAAATCCCCAGCCCTCGTTGTGGGTTCTTGTAACAAAGGAGGAACAATTTACAGAATGTACAAACTGCTGTACAAGAGAGAGCTTGAGCACAGCTCTCCGAAAGGCCAGCGTTTCTCAGTACGGAGCAGTTTCAAGCAGTAAATTTGAACCGAAGGTTTAACAAAGTTTTTGAACAGAGATTTAAAGTGGTTTTAAGATAGGGTTCCTTCCGGTATGAAACGACACTGAGCAGTGCTGGGACAGGCGACCGACCCACCTTCAGCTTGTGCGTGCTGCAGGGCAGAGCAGGATTTAGCTCTCAGAGAAATGGAGGTGGCGTGGCCAGCAGGACCGGCCTTGTGTAGAAAACTCCAGACTCTCAGCGGCTTTAATTGCCAAAAAAGTAAGGAGAACCCTTCCTGTTACGGAAGGAGTGACTTTTTATATATTATAGTCACATAAGAGGCACAGGGATGGTGGCTAAGTACCACTTACCTTTAATTTACGTAATATTCTTTAAAGGCATTTCAACCATTCTTTTTTGAAAATTTAATTTTAATTTAAATTTAAAATTATTGGTTTGATGCGCTCATTGTATTGTTTCTAATAGGCAGTGCTCACCTGTCTGTCTGCTGGTGAGTCTCAGGCAGCCTCCCAGCGGAGTGGAGATGCTGCCCTTGAGAGCCTTCCCAGGGAACCCTAGAACTGCTCCTGCACGAGGGAGCTAGGTGGCCGTGTGGCACGAGGCAGGACTTCCAGAGCAGCTCCTGTAAGCTTTATTTTGAGTGTCGCGGGATGCTCTGCTCTGAAGCTACCCTCACTGGAACAGTGCATTGTCCGCCCCCGAATTTCACAGTGATTTTACCAATGATTATTTTGCCTCCTGCATCCTTCTGGAGGGGCCAAGGCCCTCACCGGTGAAGAGGAGGAGGAGGAGGAGGCGGAGGCGGAGGCGGAGGAGGAGGAGGAGCACCCACGTGAAAGGCCATGCAGACAGTCAAGGGCTGAGAGGACAGACTTAATCGCAAACCGACCCAGCCCATGGGGTGTCCAGCTGCTATCTGGGCACCTGGTGCGTCTTAACCCAAGTCTGGGCACTGAAAGAGGGCAGGAAGAGCCCTGGACCACGAAAGGGACACAGTAAGTTATCATGGGATGCTCAGGTCAGGAGGTTTGATTAACCGCCACGTGCCAAGCGCAGTGCGGTGCCCCATGACTTGCCGCAGTCCTCTGGAAGGGCAGCCTTGTGCTATTCTTGCTCCGTCGCTGTGGAAACTGAGTCACAGAAGGCAATATCAGGAGTCCAGGGTCACACAGAAGGAAACAGAAGAATCGGGTTGTGAGCCCAGGAAATCTAACCCGACCCTACCTTCTCACACAGCTTTAACAGATCTACCAGGTCTATAAAATCTGGAGAACAGCTCTCCTGTGCTGATGATGTTATGAAGCTCAGAAGCTGGGTGTCGCGTAGCAGCACACCAGCGATGCTGGTCAGTGTTCCGAGTGGGAGCCCCCGTTAGTGGTGATGCCCTTCTCGGGCCAACACAGAGGCAGTGTCTCTCTCCTGGAGGCCTGCACCCTGCAGACTCGGGAGAACCCAAATCAGCTCCGGGCTTTGCAGCTGTGTGACCTGCTGCTGGTGACTCGACCTCTCTAAGCCTCGTCTGCTAGTAAGGGTCCCCATCCCCACCAAGCATGCAGTGAGGGCTAAGTTAATTACTATAGGTATGGTGCAGTGACAGTGCCCGGCCAGTAGTAACTTCTATGCACATCAACATGGAACTGTGCACAGCCAGGCGTCCTCGTGCCTGTCAGACAGACCTGTGTCCTTAATTCAGCGAAATCACTCACTCAGACTGGGACTATTCCCCGGGCCAGGCCCCTCCCAGGAGATCTGCATCCAGCAGGGAATTTGCCCCCGTTCTGCATGTCCCTTTGGCCTCTCTCCCATGGCTCACTCTGTCTTAGTCTGCTGGTCAGCTGACACCTGAGTGCTCCTGCCTCAGGGCCTTTGAACTGGCAGTTCCTCCTGCCTTGAGTGCCCTGGGGCTGGATCTCTTACTTCTTCCTCTTTTTGCTCAATGTTCCCCGCAGTTAGTTATTCCCATTCCCCATATCTTTACCCCTGGTGACATTTTGCATCTTTTACTTCTTCCTCTGTTTATTGTTTGCCTCCTATGCTAGCCCATCAGTTCAAGGTATCTGACTATTTTGTTCAGGCTGTGTCTCAAGTATCTAGAAAAGCCCTGGGCACATCACGAGATCTCAGTACATATTTACAGAATGAATAAATCAATAGAGAGACAAAGGGGGAGATGTCCTGAACTCTTTGTCAAGACCCAAGAAACACTGACTTCAGGAATCTAGAAATCAGAAACCGTCATAATAGTCAATGCAGAAGAGAGAAAAATAAAAAAAATAGTTGATGATAACTTTCCATTTTCAAAAGAAAAGTACTCTGGCTTTGTGCCTCTGGAAAACCTCACAGCTGGGAACAGCACATTTATGAGTTCAAAGGGAGAAAGGCTCTCAGCTCTCAACAGCTCTCAAATTGCTGAAACTCAGCCCAAAGGCTCAAGGTCGCCTAAAGTCACTGGCGCAAAGTCGAGCAGGATGAAGTCACCAAGAAGAATGTGTTTTTTTCAGAGCCTTGCTGAGGCCTGCAAGCTGGAGCTGCCGTGTGCCTCTGCCTGGTAAAGGTCCCTTTCACACCACTGCAGTTCTAACCAGAGTGGAGAAAGCAGGACAGGAAGCCATGCCTGCCACAGGTGTGGGCTTTGGGTTATGTCCATCGGGAAGCAGGACAGAGCCCAGACAGACACAAGGGCTGCGTTCTTCCAGATGGTCCTGAACTAGAGCCAGGCCACTTGGGGAAGGGGGCAGGGATGTTCCTAAGACTGAAAAGGAAAGACACCCCATAGAGGGCTGAGCCATTAAAAAGGGGCGCCTGGGGACATCATGTGCCCATCTCTACTGTGGCCACTATCCCAGCCAGACACAGAGAGGTCTTGTGCCCGCTCTGTCAGCCCTCAGCAGTGGGGGAGAAAGGAGAACACAGTGCACCCCCCACAGAAAGCCTGGGCCTTGGGCCTCCGGGGCCTGCAGCTGTGCACATCTGGGACAGACTGTCCCTCAGTGCTCCCTCCGCTCCCTCCAGGGTTGGAGGGAGCATCTGACTCCTCAGTGTTCAGCTACAACGGCTGTGGGTGCGCAGCTGAAGCAGCACGTCTCTCTCCCAGCACACATGGTCTGCTTTTGCAGCCTGGGCTCAGTGGGGTCAGGGGCGTGCCCAGTTCACGTCGACAGCTGGGGGATCTGGGACCTCTACCGGTAGCCCCAGCCTTTGTCACCTCTCTTACCTCCCTCTGCCCAGAGCTGAAGACTCCCTACCTTTGGCTGTCAAGACCCAAAGCCTGTGCACAGACGTTTGGAGAGCATTTTCCCTGACATCGGAGATAGTGGCCTCTCTTGCTTCTGCTCAGCTGTGTGGCCCTCCCACATTCCTGCAGATGGTAGAACCTGCTTCCCAGCGAGGATTCCGGGAACGCCAGCAATTCCCGTGAGGCTTTGCAGCCACCGAGGGTCAGAGCTGCGGCTTCAACCCAGCCTGGCCTGCAGACCTGAGGACCTGCCTGCAGCCCTGCAAGCAAACACGTGAGTAATGGATTTAATATTTGAAAGCAAAGTGCTCGACCCAAGAGTAGGCAGGTAGGTACAGGATGTCTGTTTCCTGATATCTGTGTTCATATTAAATATTGAGCGTGGCCAAAGCACTGGGGCTCTGTTTGGGTGTAACAAGGGGCCCCAGACTAGTTGGAATTACCCGTGTTGCACATTCTGACTAGTTGGTTAGCTACTTTAGCCCTCCGGAGCTATCTGTGTAGAAAGGTGCTGAGAACTCAGAGATTTCCATACCGGGGAGAGAACCCCTTGTAACTGAATTGCTTGATTTAGGACCTGGTAAGTTCAGACGCTTAGGGATGAGTCAAGCTGGGGAAGATGCTCTGACGCAGAGAGGCAGAGGAAAACTACGCTTCCTTTCCAGGCCTAGCTCGGTCATGACCATTTTCTCGCTTAGCGTGGGTTACCAGAGATGACTCATGAGGCAGTGTGCACAGTAGTACATACTTTGGAGGCAAGCAGACCTTGGTTCCAGTTGTTATTTTCCTGCCCACTTACTCGAGCAAATTAGTCTCTCAGCGAGATGTAGATGAAAGAAACACTGAGATTCCACCTCACCCCACAAAGAATAGCTGCTATCAAGAAATCACACAATAACAAATATTGGAGGGGTTGTGGAAAGAAAGGAACCCTTCTCCATTGTTGGTGGGAGTGCAGACTGGTGCAACCACTGTGGAAATCAATATGGAGATTCCTCAAAGAGCTGGGACTAGAGGTTCCATTTGACCCAGCCATCCCTCTGCTGCGTATCTTCCCAAAAGAATTAAAAGAATCATACCACAGTGATATATGCTCACCAGTGTTTATAGCAGCACAGTTTGTAATAGCTAAAACTTGGAAGCAGCCCATTTGCCCATCAGTTGGTGATTGAATAAAGAAGATGTGGTTTTTCTATAAAATGGAATACTACTCAGCCATAAAGAATGAGAAATTAGACTCATTCATAGGAAAATGGATGCATATTGAGAATATACTCCTAAGTGAAATAAATAAGTCACACATTTGTAAATACCAAATAGTTTCTCTGGTGTGAATAAACTGTAATAGTACATAAGATCCTGATGAGATAATTGACATTGTGAAATGGGCAGAAAAGGGCTAAAGGTGTAGGGAAAGTGGGAAGGGTAGGGGAAAGGGAATAAGGGAAAAGTAAACAATATGAGAAAATGGAAAAATGGAAATAAAGTGTTTATTAATGGGGAGGGTGGAGGTGGTGAAGGGAGGGCAGGGACAAGCGGAAAGAATGAGAACCAAGACTTGTCATGTGAAGGTACAAGATCCCAATGATGAATGGAACTGTACTGTAGACCTAAAATGTACCAATAAACCCAATGAGAGAAAAAAATTAGTCTCTGAGCGATTCGACCTCTTTGTCATCAAGTGAACATAATCCTGCATAACTCATTGAGTTCTTGGGAAGATACAATGAAACCATACTTTGAGAGCGTGGAGCCTGGCATTGGACACGCTGCGAGTGCTCCACAGCAAAGGACAGTCACACGGCACATTGGTCACTGGGCGGCTTCTACAGCATAAACAGATGCAGAGATGCTTACTTAGAGCCTCCTGATCGATGCAAGACATTCTGCCCCTCCCTTCCACCTCGCCCTTCTTTATGTGCCCAAGACCAGATGGTAGAACTGAATTTGCTATTCCTCGATGGTCTCAGTTTCGTGACCTTCTGTCTTGTTAAACTGAGTAAGCTTGGTAATAGGCAAAGACATATAAATATATATAGATAGATGAAGACATAAAAATGCATGGACCGAGTCCTCCGTTCTTTTACCTGAAAGGGTGATCTGTTCTACTCTGGGGGAAATAGCAATGGACTTCATGGGTAATTAAAGGGCTGTATTTCTGCAATTAAGCCCCCTGTATCACAGCAGTTATTGCCTTGTCATGCAATAGACTATTAAGGGCTGTTGGCTTGATTTGCCAACAAGGAAGGAACAGTCATGTGCAGCTTCAGACTCTGTGAGCAACACTGAGGGGCAGATGACACCCCCGGGCACAGCCTCCAGGGGCCCCATCTCCCTTCTGCAGACGCTGATGCTAACTTCAAACACAGACAAGATTCCAAGTGCATCTTATTAGCACAAGTTGCTGGGTATAACCAAGTCTATCAAATTATTTGATAAAGATCTATTCATTACCCTTATCCAGTCCAAAGAAAAATATAATTGAAACGTGGTCACATGCTATAATGGATATGGGAATAAAACTTCCTCTGCTTCCCTCCTAAGTAGAAAACCAGGGGCTTAGCAAAATACACGAAGGCAGATCAGATAGGAGGGCAGATTTTAGCTTTTTTAGCTGGGAAATCTTTCTTGAGTGACTCTCCAGTGAAGACATTTTATCAACTCCCAACACGAAATAGCTTCACCCCAAAAGTTACGCCCCTCCCCAAGGCAGAAATGTGATGATTCCCTTGTTCCTGGAAATCCGCTCATCAAGTATTTGCCAAGTGTTCCGTGGCTGATAAGGGGCCAAGTGGCTCATTCATTTGTGATGCGGCTAACTGGTGGGTGAGGGTCTGTGAAATGAAAGAGCGCGCTGACAAGACTGCTGGAAAGCCAAAGAGGCTCTCTTGGCAACGCGGAGAGCCTGCGGAGGATGAAAAGAGTCTGCCCAGCAGGGGCGGTAGAAAGCCCTAGCGCCCTGACTCAGCCTTCCCAACCCAGGAGTTTCTTGCTGTAGCTGGAGAGGAGAGAACAAAGCACAGACTGCCTGGAGGGCTGAGACCACCACCTGCCAGAGGCCCCGATCTCTCCCTTCTCCAATTCTGTTCCTCTTTGCTCACAAAATCTTTTTTTCAAAATGTAGTAGTCCTAGGAACAGTTATACATTAACACACATCAAATGACCTTCAGAAAATAGCTCGCTGTGTTCTGATGTGGAGAAAAAGCTCCTGTCCAATCACAGATCCAAACCGAAAGAACTGTGACTGTGGGTGGGTGAGTGTTAATGGGCAGTGGGGTCTCAAAGTGCCCCCAAAGCCCTTAGGATAGAGGTGGGGCCATGACCTTGTGGGGCTGTTGGGCTGAAGAAGGATGTTAGTCACTGAGGCCTTGCCCTTAAGGCGATATTAGGCCCTTGCCCCCTCCTTCTTTGCTTCCTGTCCTTCATGAGGTAAACAGCCTCGCCCTCGCTTGTGTCAGTCATGATTACTGTGCGACCACGGCCCACAGTGGTGAGGCCAAGCCACCGTAGGCTCAAAGAATCCTGTCTTCCTTGGAAATCGATTTTCTCAGGTATTTAACGCAGTGATAGAACGCTGCTGCTCACAGAAAGGTAGAAATTTTTTAGGTGACTCTAAAATGAGGAAAAGAGCTAGGAAATAACTACTGTATGGCTGGCCCTCTGTATCTGAAGGTCTGCACCTGTGGAGTCGATGAACCATGGATGGAAAGTATTTGCAAAATACAACAACAAAAACGCATCTGAGCTGCGTATGTATGACATTTCCCCCTTGTCACTATGAGCTGAACGATGTAGTACGATAACTGTGCACACAGCATTTGCATTGTATTAGGCATAAGTCATCCAGAGATGATTTCAAGTTTATAGGGGAGATGCATAGATCATAAGCAAATACAATGCTGCTTTATAAAAGGGGCTTACACATCCCAGAAGCACCGTATCCTCGTGAATCTGTCACCCTCTAACCCCTCCTGACCCTCCTGACCTGCACTGGGTCAAGCCCTCTGCAGATGAGACTTTGGGGACACCTCGTATTTAGACCCCAAGAATGTCTAAGGATTTGAGTGTGGGAGTCCTCACAGTAACCACAGTAGCTGGCCCTCCTCCTGTTCCATTTTACAGATGGGGGAGCAGAAGATCAAAGAGGTTCCTGTAACTGGCCCAAGACGGGATAGTTAGGAGTGATGAAAAGTCTGAGCTCAGAGAGAGGGATGAGCAATTAAAGAAGTAAAGGCAAGTAGGTTATGGGTGACAGAGGTGGCAAGCTTCTCAGGACAGGCTTAGGAGCCTTGTGGATGGACATAGTACTGGGCAGGGGCAGGGGCATCCAAGAGATGTGGGTGTCAGTGCTCTGCCACTGCTGCACCGTTCACACCCCTCCCTGTGTGCCTCCTCCTAAAGTATCTGAACGCCACAGCCTTGGTTGCATCTTCTGAAATGTGGGGTCAAGCACACACATCTTCACTCGGTGTGTGTGTGTGTGTAAGTGAAGATTCTGTGAAATGAGGGTTGCTTGCTACTTAGGGCTGGGAGTGTGGGAGGTCCTGACTAAGTTTGCCTCCTGGATGTAGGAGTCTTTTAAATTAAAAAAAATTAATCGATACATAATAACTGCATCTAATTGTGGGGTACAGTGTAATGTTACAGTGCATGAATGCCAGTGGTTGACAACCTTTGTTGCCCCAGGGATAGTTTTCATGGAGGGCAATGCTTCCACGGGCAGAAGGGACAGCGTGCAGGGGCGTGGGTTTCAGAGTGATTTAAAGGAGCCTGCAGCTCAAATCCCTCAGTTGGTGGTTCACAGTAGGGCTCAAGCTCCTATGGGGATGGAAGGCTGTAGCTGCTCTGACCGGAAGGGGGATCAGACAGGGATGGGAGCAGTGGGACGGGGCTGTGAAGTCAGACAAAGCTTCACTCATTCCCCATGCTCACTGCCTGCCAAGCAACGTTGCTCCTCACAGGTTTTGGATCAGCTTGTGGGAGGGTGGTATGGGAGATCCTGGATGTATATCATGTGTAAAAGTCATACCAGGATTACTGCCACACCCCCACCTCCAACACTGGTCATTTCTGGGTTGGGAACACTCACAATCCTTTGTACTATTTAGAAATGTACAGTTAATTGTGTCAACCATCATTACCTTACTATGCTATAGAACAGCTCCTCCTCCTATCCAACTGCATCCTGGTAAGCATTAGGCATCTTCTCTAGGACTTGTTTTGATGAAGGAGGGGTGTGAGGGCTGGGGAGGAGTCTGGCACCCACTCACAGGCCCCCGTTTGCACACCGAGGGCTATGACTAAAACTCACCAACGTGTGGCTCCTCATTCCCACGGTCCTCCGTGTTACCCCTGGACCAGCAAATTTCACCAGGCTGCCTCCACTCACCAGGGAGCACAGACTGTTTTGGACCTTCTCTCATGATTCTGTACCAGGCATGGTGCCAGGTGCAGGGGACACTGTACAAAGGGGACTTCAGTTTTCACGGGGAGCCGTGAACAAGCAGATATCAAACACACAAATAAGCACAACAGTCATATTTGCTGGTGCAAGGTATACAAGAAATAAGTGGATGATGCGAGGGAATAAAGGGCATCAGTGGGGAGTTCACACTCGCAGAGCCCACACAGACAATCTTGAATTCCTGTCAAGAATGAGCTCATGCAAAAAAAAAAATTTTTAAGTAGGAGGCTGGGGATTTAGCTCTGTGGTTCTGCTGCCTGCCTTAAAAGCACAAGGTCCTGAGTTCGATCCCAGGTACAAAAAAAATAAAGAAAAAATAAAAATAAAAAAGAAAGGTCTGGGAAGAGCTTCACACAGTGCCTGGATTTCTCTGTACCTATCCTAGATCAGCTTGGTCTTCTGAGCCTTCTTTGATGGCAGGTGAAAGGAATTTCCAGAAAGGCATAGAAGGCCCTCTCCCTCCTTCTCCAAATGTGTAATAAGGCATCTAAGCAACTTCTGATCCTCTGCTCTTCTCTACCCAAATGATGCTGCATCCAGCAACATGAGAGACCCGGAAGACCAGGTGGGGTGCATTGCCTTTTTAGAGGTGCATGCAATGACTGGGCCGTCCAGGGGGTGGCGATGATGTGAGCTTTCGTCTGGATCAGACTCACCCTCAGAAGAGCAGGACCATCTCCCAGTGGAATGAGTGCCACAGACCCCACCCAGACCACTGTGTCCCATTCAGTGGCAGTGCTGCTGCTCCTGGTGGGAGGAATCTCAGGAACCTACAGTAAGGCAGGTCCTGAAGTTCCTCGGAGAGATCGCAGGAACCCGGGTTAAGTTCAACACAGGGCTGGGCTCTTTCCTACATGCTAATAAGTTTAGGTTCATTTTGGAGAGTGGGGAAAGGGGGCACATGTTCTCAAATGGAGGGGCTCAGGATATTTGTCTTCACCTCGCCTCCGGTGTCCTCCACCTTTTATCTGAAATGTATCGGGTAACTTCTGAACACCTTGCTGACTCTTGCTCTCTTTACGCTGCATTTTATTGGTTAACTCCAAGGAGAAGAGGTAACACGTGCATGTGTGTGTGTGTGTGTGTGTGTGTATGTGTGTGTGTGCGTGTGTACTTTAGAATCCCGAGGTTGACAGAGAGAACCAGCATGAAGACCTGAAAGTGGATGAACACGTGGAACAGAGATGTGGAGCGGAGCTTGGCGGCTTCCGACTGTACTGCCTGACCAGAACATGACCATCGGGATGAGATCCATAGTGCTAAATATCCTACGCATTTTCTGTGTTTTGTTTTGTTTTTGTTGGTTTTTTGAGACAGGGTCTCACTGTGTAGTTGAGACTGACCTGGAACTCACTGTGTAGCCCAGACTGGTCTCGAACTCACAGCGATCATCCTGCCTCAACCTCCTGAGTGCTGGGCGCCACCACGCCTGGCCAATATCCTCTGCATTTAACAAGTGACTTGAGAGAAATTTGGACATGCTATTTCATTTTTTACTACTGAATATGAGTGTGGATAAAGCAACCCATCATTACATGTAGAGATGTTTAGTAACTAAACAGAAAGGGCTGACACTGAGATGACTAAATATTACTCATTACCTACACTGTATCTAGGAGATTTTTTCAGCAAACTGTATTGAAAGCATAACTGATTTGCAGCTTTGGTGATAACAAGACCTGTAAAAGAGAACATTCTATGAGTCCTGAGTAGTACTAAGTTATGCTCACGAGCAACTGTGCATAGAACAAGATATCTCTGCCTAAAAGGACATCTGTTTATTGCACTTAGCACCTGTTTCTGTGTCTGATGAGACAGCAGCAAGACTCTCGTTTCTCCCACTGGCGCATGGATCCAGAGATCCTGTCTTGTCTTCCGGCTCAGAAGATGTAAATGTGGCCTCACTGTGCAGGTCAGTGGCCATGACTGTGGGGTCCCAGGAAGTGGTAGAATCTCCGTCAGTCCAGCCCAGCTGTGGGGAGCAGCTGAGATGATTGAGCAGGGACGAGAGATGGCCTCTCAGTGCTGCTGTTGGTCTGTGGGTGTTGGTTGTATCAGCCTTCCTTCTGCTTGAGGGCATCTGGGTTAAATTCTGCCAACCAAGCACAAGGGGATGCTCAACTGCGGATAATCCAATGCTGATCAGATGCCTGGATCCTGCCCCACTGGGTTTACACCTTGATCTTCCCGATTACACAGAACGGTGCATTCTTTTACAGTTTAAACAAATTTCTTTTTGTCCACTATAATTTCTCTGATAATACAGTGCTTGGACCCATTTTTTCTTCAAGTCAAAAAGTTCATTGGTCAGTTTTCTTTTTGAGAAGAAGTAAGATTTGGATTTGGGGTTTTGCAAAATGACCAAAATTTAAATTCAAAGAGACCTATTTCTATTCTTCACTGCCGCAAACAAATCCTTGCAAAACAATGGTGTAAACAATAGCAATGGAATAACATGGTTCCTAAGGGTCAGGAATTCGGAGGATGGCAGAGATGGCTTATATCTCTCCCTGGTGTTGGAGTCTTAGTGGGCCAGGTGTGGATCTGAGGGAGGCTGGTGCCTGGCAGGGATAACACAAAGGCCGGTTCAGCTGGGACGTCCAGAACACTGTCCCACGCTCTGTTCATGGCTAGTTGGGCTCCCTCATGGTATGGTGGCCTTGGGGTAGCTGGATTCCTTATATGGAAACTCCGAGCTGCAGGAACAAATGTCCTTGTGACCTGACCTCACACAGCAGCACTCCCATTTTACGTATGAGGCTGCTTTGCTTTAACAGAGGGGACACAGGCTCCCACTTGCCCTTGAGAACAGTGTCAACAAGTCTGAGTCATGTTTTAGAAGTGCCACAGGGCCTCAGAGGTGATGCAGGTGGCTTTTTTCCCTTCACACTTCCTTCTCTTTGCATGTGCTTCTCCTGCCCGGTAAGTGCCATCTCCCCCGGCCCTGCCTCCCTAACGACTCCCACGTTACCCTCTGTGGCTCTGTAGCTGTAATACCTCCCTGAGAGGCACCCCTAACTTCTGAGCTTGGAGAGGGTTCACTCTGCTCTGCTGCACCCACATCCTCTGCTGGTCTTATCATCATGGAATAGTCCGATTCTTCTCTGTCACTTCTCAACAAATTGTGGACATCCTTAGGAGCGGAGATGATGCTCTTTCTTGTTCTATTATTATGTTGGCTCCTGGCAAATAGCAAATGCTAACCACCATATATTTAGTGAGTGAAAATGTGCCACCTTCAGACTTTGTAAATAAGAAGACACCAGCCTAGAAAATGCAGCACATTGTCTAAAGGCTCACGACTCACGTGTAGGAGTCTAGGACTTGTGACACCTGTCTGAAATTCTCAAGTTACTCCCATTTCACCACCAATAACACCAAGCCCAGAGCGGTGCTTGCAGGAGACTATGTGTGACAGAGAAACCCCGAGCAACTCTGTGATCAACTTTTGCCTGCACCATCTCTTAGCTTTCCAAACTTACTAAAATGGGATGTTTTTTGGACCTGGGAAGAAAACACAATGGACTGAGAGTGACATCTTCAGAAACAAGTACTAGTGGCTTCGGAGTTCAGGCCTGGCTCAGTTAAGCACCTTGCCAGCAGGCTCAGTGTTTCCCAGATAAAATATGCAATAGACACACAGCTGGCTCCCCACATGGACAGGCCAGATGTCGGCATGCCTGTGTGTTTCGGGGTTCCTGCCAGGAAAACCGAAAGAGAAAGGGGGGCAGTTGTTCTGGAAGGCTGCAGGGGAGCATTTTCAATCCCGAAATCTGTGTGTGACCCCAAATTTGTGTGTGACAGCACAAATGCAAAGTGAAATGACAGCCCATGAAGATGGGCATAAAAAGACTCAAAACTAATTGTATTCCATGCACACATCTTAAGGGGTTTTATCTGATCACCACACACTTCCCAGAACGTGAAAAACCCCGTCTCTTCACCTCTTGATCTGCACATTTTCTTTTTAGGTCAGAGTGAATCGAATGATTTCCAAAGGTGGACCGAGATAAATTAGCTCAGGAATCTCTTTTGCCTATGTGACTGCATTCTAACACCGATTTGATCCAAAACTTCCAAACAGCCCAGTATTCATATTTTCAATAATGTAACCATTTCTTTCTAGAAATGACCTCCTGACTTACTTATTTTTCTGGCATTAGGATTATCTCAATTTCTTCTAAAAGTTGTACTCACTTCCAGCTTAATAGAATAAAACTATTAGTCTGCCTTCTAAGAATTGTAGATCATTAAAAAAATTAAAACCCATATATATTTTTTTAAAAAATCTAGCAACTTCTTCTAAATGCTTAGCCTTTTAAAAATAAAAAGTCCCTGTGTAGTTGCATTTCATAAAAAGTCTGACAATAGCATGTCTTGGCAAGGATGGGGTCAAATCAGCAATTTTACACATTGCTCATCAAACTAGGAGTTGGTAAACACCTCTTAGGAAAATAATTTGGCAAGAGCTAGTATAGCTTAAGATATGCATTTCTTGGGACTTAGTTTTGTTTTTTGTTTTGTTTTTTTTTTTTTTTTTTGTACGTGGGGATCGAACTCAGGACCTTGCTGCACTTGTGAGGCAGGCGGCGGAGCCACTGAGCTACCTCCCTGTTCCTTTCTTGGGACTCAGAAACCCCATTTCTATGGGAATCCCTGTACGATTGCACTGAACGATGGTGATCCCCGGCGAGTCTTCCATATGGAGGAAACTCACGTAGTGTTGCAGGGGGGAAAAAGCAGATTTTGGACACATACATGCTGTATGGTTTTATTTCCCTAACATTTTAGACCTTGCCAAATTAAAACCGTGCTGTTGGGAAGATTCATCATTTGGTCTCAAGCATAAAGAACAGCAAGGGAATCACTGCTGTCAAATGGGTGAGAGAAGACAGCAGAGTTGGGACACTGAAAATGGTTCACGCCTCTCATCTGGATGTTGGCACACAGGTGTGTGTTTTATTTTACTCCTTATACTTTTGTGAATGAATTGTGTCTCCTCCTGTGTATATACTGCATAATTTCCAAAGCATAAAATACAAAGAATATATGAGAAAAATCCTTAAGGATTTGTGACATTGATGAGAATATATTTTTAATATATGAAGCACTTCTAAAATTAAGCAAAAGGTCAATGGCCACCAAAATCTAGGCAAAGCCGTGAAGTGACAATAATAACAGCAAAACACTGTACTTTTAAAGCATCGGATTAGCAGAGAATAAAAATGGCAGTAATACTTCTGATGGGCTGGGGAGGCAGGCACATAGCTATGGGAATGTGCTGAGTCCAGCTTTTCCTTTGGGCATTTTGGCATAAAGTATCAAGAGCCATAAGCTACTTATAGAATTCATAAATGCATTTTACAGAACTTATAGAATTGTTGAGTCAACAGTTCTAAGACTTGATCTCAGAGAAACCCTTGAGCCAGCCAAGGCTCGGGGATGTATGTTCCGGAACGTTCAGCGCAGGATGAAAAATGGGAAACGCTAAAGTGTTAATTCGGGACTGGCTGGGTGACTGATGGCACATCTCTGCAAAAGAATAATATGAATGCTAGAGCTCCTTATTTATCGAGACCGGAGCATGTGGGTGTCCTAAGTAAGGGGAGCGGGAACTGAGCAGAGGTGTATGTGGATGCAAATGCACTTGTGTAAAAGTGTGTGCGGATGCATGCACGCTCGCACACTGCTTGCACCCTATGTTGGCTGGTAAAAGCCAGAGTGTCCAGAGCCCTTTCTTGCCCTTGCCTTCCTGCTACTGCTGGAATGAACCTCTACCACACAAGCCCCATCAGCTCACTGCTCTGTTCGAAATGCCCCAACCCCCCATCTCACGCAGTAGGACAGCCAAAGTCTGCGGTGTCCAAGGAGGCCTACGCTGTCTGCTCACATTCTCGGCTCCCCCTGTCAACCTGACAGTAACTGTCCCACTTAGCTCACCCTATCCTGGCCACTCCACTTCCAGCTTTCCAAATATCCCTGCCTCGGAGCCTTTGCATGTGCAATTCTATCTGGAATTTCTCTTTCTCCCTGAAGTCTCCCTAAATCACCTTTTCAGTGAGGCCTACCCTGAGTTTCCCACACCATCATTTTCTACCCCCTACCCAGTGTTTGTCTCCCCAAGCACTTACTGCCCTCTTTGTGGTCTACAGAATATACTTGTTTATCCATTATTTCCTGTTAGAATGTCCACTCAGGGCAAGAAAAAGTTTGTATTTATTTTATCTCCTGCTCTAACCCCAGAATCTAGAACAGGGCTTCACCCATAGCAAATCCCTCAGCAAGCGTTAACAGTGATCAGATAAGTGAACAAACAAAGACCATCTTAGATCAGAAGCAGCCTGAGGATGGAGAGTCCCCCAGGGCCAGGCCCACAGGCCCCTTCTTCAAATGCAGCAGCCTGAGCTTCTTTCTGGCCACGTGGCCTTTAGGTGTGATCTGAAATGAGAGGCCGCAGTCAGGCTCCCGGAACGCGGGAGCAGAACTGGTCCAGAAGAAGGGAGCAGAGGTGGGAGGTGTCCAAAAGCACCCGAGGGACTCAGCAGGGCTGAGCCTGGCGAGGTCCTCTCTCCTCCTGCAGTGGCAACAGGGTAGGTGACTTTCATGACCATTTTTCGGTTTAATGGCTGTTTTCTGCTCCCGCATCGATGAACGTGGACTGCGTATGCGGGACTGAGAGGCTGGATTCCCCATCTGTGTAAGCCCAAGCCAGGGTCCAAAGCCTCGTCTGGCTGGGCGCCCAGTGCACCTCTGGCTTGTGATCTTGGCCAAGTAAACTGTGGATCCTCTGCAAGATGAAGACGTCAGGACTGTACATCCTGTCTTGTCTCCAGCACACACAATTACACGTTTCCCTGTACTCCCCAGAGTGGGATTAAAAACTCCTCTCCCTTCTCCTCCTTCAAGCACAAAGATTATCTCACATTTACATAGAAATAAATGAGGTTGCCCCTAGCAACAGCTGCAGACCAGCTGTTTCCTGGAGCAGGCAGATTATTTTATCACTTCTTTGTTTGTTTGTTGTTACTGTGGCAAGAACACCAGTCATCTTCAAAATTTTAAGTGTGCCGTATGAACCCTTCACAGCACACAGAATTCCTGGCAGGGTTTGGCTTCTTTCTTCTCTCCAAACACCCCTGGGAAGCTCCCTGTGCGGAAGAGAGAGGAATAGGGTTGAAGTGTGTTAAACCAAGAACCAAACTAAGGCCTTTTATGTCCTAAATGAGAGGACATAACTTCTACGTCCCTATTACAGTAAAATCAATCCGATCTCTCTTCCTGCTCTTCCCTCTCCTCCTCCCAGAGACTGTGGAGAAACAATGAGAGAACCTGTGCCTGGAGCAGAGGACTGGGCCTGAGAAGCTTGTGGGGCCACAGAGCACCTGTGCTACGTTTCAGGTATGATCAGGGAGAGGTCAATGTGCTCTCCAAGAAAAGTGTAAGATGCTGACTCTCTGGGGAGAGCCAAGACGACACGTAATTACAAACAAACAAAACAGACTGAAGATAGGTAAATCTAGTACACGTGTGCACGCATGCACACACACATTTGCACAGTGGCTGTGAAGGGAGGGACATCTTTAAGCAACATGTCGGGAAGCCCACGGTGGTGTGGCTGAAGCATTTGAACTGTGCGATGCTCTGTTTGGCGAAGTGCTGCTGCTGTCTCTCGGTCTCCACCGTCACTGCCAATCATCAAAGGAAACTGCGACACCCACGAGCCATGTGCTCACCCTTCTTAGCATGGGGGTGTTGCTGGGCTCCCATTTGCTCGTCTGGGTTGGTTCAGGGAAAGGCTCTGTGCGTGTCTGCTACAGGACCGTGTGCAGGGCCAACAGTTGCCAGAGGAAACTGGTTCCAGGACCCGGAGCCCCGAGCCCACGGGGCTGGGAAAGGTGAGCTAGCTGTGGGCCGCAGTTCCAGACAGCCTGGAGCCTCTGCTGCTCCTGGTTTGCATCATTCAGATGCACCCAGGGCTGGCCATTCCTCTCCTGGTGTGAACTGCCCCCCTCTAACGAGGAGCTTTATTTTATTAGTTTTCCTTTCCCTGATCCCTGCCAAGGTCTGAAGAATGATTGTCTCCCAAAAGTCCATGTGCAAAGCCTCGATGCCTAGGCTGGTGCTGTTTGGGGTCCACCAGGGACCTGGAGGGGCCTAGTGAGACTCCCGGTGCTGCCATCAAAGCAGGGTGGGGACCCTAATTTCTGTTTCCAGCGCAGGTGGGTCCGTTCCCTGCTGTACACATCCCCACCACAGTGCGCTCCCACGGACACCCACCCAAGAAGATAAATCAATAGGCCCTTGACCTCAGACATTGATCCAATAAAACTTTGAGCTCAATAAAGAGAGATCTGCTTCACAGACACCCTATGTCAAATATGTTGTTCCAGTCAAAGAAAACCAACTTAATGCATCACTGTCTTGCCCCAACTCCCAAAATACTAGCCCTACAAGAGCAAGGCCTTGATCTATTTTGTTTATTGCTACTGTCCCAGTTGGCCCAGAGAAAGCGCTCAGTAAGTATCTGCCGGTCACATAGAGAGGTAAGGTTTTCAAAGTTTTTTCTTTTTCTCTCACTTTGAGTCACAGCTGCCACATTCACCAGGCCACTCCCACAGATGGTCTTGTCCTGGGCCCTGGCTGGGCTTCCCCTCGGACCTCACTGAGCTCGCCCTGCATCTCTTGCTTCATTCACATGGTGTTTTTAATTTGTGCATCTCTTTCATCTTTCAGGACCGGCATCTCGGAACACTGTTACCACCCACTTCTCTGTGCGATTCTCCGCTTGCTTGGACAGATCAGACCTTTGGGTTTATTTCCTTCCCCACTATTTAAAATCTTTTAGGTATAGGAGTAGGACATAACCCTCAGAGAGAAGCAGAATTTCCTGGCCAAAGGGAAATATGGACTCAGCCTACACTCTGGAAAGCATCTTTAGGACAAGATTTTGTGTAGCAACAGGTTGGAACGCAGGGCAGGTTCAAATTAGGCAAATGATTTGTGCAAGAAATTCCATGGCTTCACTGCAGCTGCTTTATATAAAAGCCTCAAATTGTTTTCTACAAGTACAGAGATTTGGCACATTTCGGGGAGGAGGAAATGGCAATATAAAGCAAACTCCCTGGCATGCGCTCAAAAAAGTTGGATTTTTAAAAATTTTCTTTCTTTCTTTCTTTTAATTGTGTGTATTGGTACATTTTAGGTATACAGTACAGTTACACTCATTATTGGGATCTTGTACGTTTACATTACAGGTCTTAGTAGGTTGGATTACTTCTTAGAGAAAGGTATTACGAAAAGCAATTTCTATTCTCTATAAAAAGCAAAATGAATCCTTGTCTGCTCTAGAGAACACCTACTCCCCCTGTGGTCATGATCAGGTCTCTCTCAGGCCCTCTCTGTGCTCAGGTGGGAAATGGGAGCAATTGCCAAGCTCCCTCTCCTTCAAGGATTGGAAGGACTCAGGGAGCAAAAGGAAGGGGCAGCAGGTGCCAACTCACAATAGGCCTGCAGAAGTCCTTGGTGGAGACTTAACGCTCCCTCCTTCTGCTGTTACTGTGGATAATGATGTCTAATAATCTAATCTGCTTCTGTCTTCTTAACAGGAAGTACACTTAAGATTTGTATCTGAGGCCTTAATCCGAAATACAACATGAGCTTTCCCGGGCCAGTGGAAGACTCCATGGCTGGCCAAGGATGAGATGGGCAGTCTCTGCTTCCAGGGTCCTGAAGCCGAAGGATGGGGCAGCCACTCACGGCTGTTACAGACTCAACCTCAGAGGAGCAGCAGAGCTGTGCAGTGGAGGCTGAGCTTGTAGATCCAGGTTATAATCTTGCTTCCTTCACTTCTTAGACCAATGCTCTCTCAGGCTGCTGCTGTACGTTCCTGCCAAAATGAGGGGGAAAACAAGGCTGCCTCACCAAAAGGTATTGAGATCATCCAGTAAGATGAGGCAGTGTGACATGAGCCAAGAAATGTCCTCTATATCCTCCATTTAGCCAGCATTTGAATTAAAATTCTTACCTTTATGACCTCAGTTAGCTTCTGTACCCACTGTACTCCTAAGGTGGTACAATCGCGATCACCATTTTACACATAATGCAATGAAGGTGCAAAGAAATACTTTTTCAAGAAGATAAAACAAAATCTTGCTGTAGGTCACCATCCTTCTTTGTGGAGTGGGGATCTGAGCTTAGGCAATGTGCATCCGCAGTACCCTCACTCCATCCCCTGGCTCTGGGAAACCCGAGTCCACGGAAGTGGAGAATCTGTGGATCCTACAAATCTGGCTCTAATAGAAGGACGTTTCTCAGTGATTGACACAGACATCCATAAGGAGAGCTGGCAGAGCTATGGCTTAGAGAGATGCCATCCCGGTTTGCACAATGAGCCCAAGAGATGTGGTTTTCCAAGTAGCAGAATGATAGTCTTAGGCATTAGCTGAGTTTATGGACGCTGACCAATAGAACCTTGGAGGAGCAGTGGGGAGCCACAAAAGTGCAATTACTCCTTTGTCTGGTCTTGCAGGGGGTATCTTATCTTTTCTTGGGGAGACTGTTGTCAGCCCTCCCTGGGTTCTTCCAGTGGAACAGGAAAAAAGAACTAAGTGGGGCTATGCCATGAGTTCACCTGGAGGAGGAGAGGCTGGGATCCAGTTCTAACCAGTGCCTCGTCTCTGCAGCATCCTCAGGATAGGAGCTGGTCCAGCCTGGAGGACTGTCCCTTGCCATGTTCCCTTAGAGCAGCAGAGGCACCTGTCTGACAATGAGGTGGAGACACATGATGTCCTCTTTGCCAGCCCTGGCTTCATTTCCTGCTGGCTACGGATGCTGTTGTGTATAGATATGACTCCGATCTGTGATTTTCATCCTTTCTCACCTAAAAGGCAAGTCTAGGCCTCTCTGACTCAGGCCCAGGCTCTGATGTCCCAGCCCCACTGCTGTTCCTGAGACTACAGCTCATCAAGATTTCAAAATGGCATTGAGGACCATTGGCCCCAATCCCCATGGGTCTTCCCTGTGGCTGAGACACAATACACAACACCTGTAACATGAAGGAGGTGAGGTTTATCTGGCTAACAGTTTCCGAGGATTCAATCCATTGGTCAGCTGGTTTCCAGGCAGAAATGGCATTGTGAGAGGGGATGGCGGGGCAGAGGTGTCCAGCACCTGTGGCCAGGAATCGGAGAAGGGAGGAGGTAGGGACAAAGGTACACCCTTCGAGGTCACACCGCAGTGACCCACCCTGTCAGACCACCTGCCTCCGAACATGCAACTCTGGGAGGACAGTTTAGATCTAAACCATAACAGGAATAGTCTAGAAAAATTCCAACTCACGCTTGAGATTCACTGCAAAAAAAAAAAAAAAAAAAAAGTGTCAGTTCAAACTCTTTGGTTTCCTTTATAGATTCAAGTTCCTGCACTCAGAGAGCTCACAGCAGTGACACAGAGACAATAACTCCATATGAGCTGTACAATGTGATGATGGCATGAAAACAAAAACGGTCAGAAATGGCTTTTCTGAGGAGACTAGAGTCTAGGTATCATCTCTGTGTGCTCTTGCCCATTAAAGCACATGATCGATACTATTTTGAAAAAAAAGAAAAGAAAAAAGCATGATTTACTGAAAACAAGTTTTGGCTGAAGTTTTTTGTTTTGTTTTTTTGTTTTTTTTTGGCTAGGAGAACATGCAGTTCAGCAGTTAATGCTAGAAAGCGAGATAAGAGAACAAACCATTAATTTGAAATGCCAAGGGAGTCTATGAGATCACAGCCAAAGTTTTCATGCAACATGAACATAATCATGGTCCCAGGACAAAGGACACCACAGTCCTCAGCCTCCTGGGGGTGTGGATAGTTAGTAGCCTCAAGAGCTTGTTTGCCAAGAATCCAGAATCCAGCAGTCAGACTTGGTCATGCATTCTTGCCTGGCCCAGATAGCCAACAAGAGCTTGCTTCACGCTGCACACACTCTGGAATAATGTAGGGCGTTGCTGATCAGGGAAAGTCCAGCTCTCTCCCCACCAGGACTGCAATTTCCCAGTGTGGCCTTGCCTTTAGTATAAAATGTGACTGCTGCCCTCGGATGTGCCCCTCAGAGGACAGCTACACTGCTTTTGGGAATTAGAAGCATCAAGAGAGATGCCTGACTCTCCTGGGGCTCCAATCCTAAGGGTGAAGAGGAGCGCTAAAGAGAGCTGAGCCATTGTTTGTCACTGAAGCATGCTGTTGCTTTGTTTGTTAACACATTGGTGTGTGATGGTCAAAACTAATGATGGTCTGTTCTGAGTTGAACCCACTCAAACCAGTCTCCAGTGGGCCAGTCAATTCCGTTCAGTTGGCCTGGTGTCAGGGCTGGAAAAATACCCTCGCTGCTGAGATTAACAGTCTGTTACCCCCTCTTGGAGAGGGTACCTAGCCCATGGGTCTTTCAAGCTCCTTCCCTTCTCCTTTGGGCCCATACTCTACTCTTTTCAGCCTTTTGGAATGCCAGCCCCAGCAGCAGAAACAATAACTACCAGCAGAAAAGCACTACCAAGTGTCTGGTACTGGGCCTACTGATTTTTATACATTGTCTCATTTTATCCTCAAAAAATGACCTTCTCAGGGAAAGTATTATATCAATCACAGTGATGGCTGTAACACTGCACATTTTCAACACCACTGGATTAGTCTTTGAATGGCTTCATCATATTGCATATGAATTATGTCTCCAAATCCGTTGAAGTATTATATTTAAAAGTTTGGGAGCCGCTAACTAGAGAAATTGTGTAGTCTTTACTTTGCATACCAGAAAAGAAGAAGGGCTGAAGATTAATGGACTTAATATCTGACTGTGCAGGTTTGAAAATCTGCTTGAGGCAGATGTGTTCCCACGGCCAGGTCACACAGCGGGCAACGGCACAGCTGGGTTCCGGTGCAGATGTCCCTGGCCTCGTGTTGATGTTTTTACTGACACTGCCTCCCACAGTCCCCCATGGTCCTGGCCTAGCCCATCATGAGCTACCCAGCACTCCAGATATTTTTCCATTGAGTTTATTGGTACTTTTAAGGTTTACAGTACAGTCGCATTCCTCATTCGGCTCTGTACCTTCATATGACAGGTCTTGGTTCTCATTTTTTCCCCATTGCCCTGCCCTCCTTTCACCCCCTCCACCCTCCCCTATTTACAAAGACTTTGTTTCCACTTTTTCCTTTTCTCATATTTTTCTTTTCCTTTTTTTCCTTTCCCTACCCTTCCCACTTCCCTTACACCTTTAGCCCTTTTCTTCCTATTTCACATTGTCAGTTATACCATTTAGATCTTACTTACACTTTTAGTTTTTCACACCAGAGAAAGTATTTGGCATTTACACATGTGTGTCCTATTTATTTCGCTTAAGAGTATGGCCTCAATGTGCACCCATTTTCCTATCAATGACTCCAGTTTCTCATTCTCCCTGAGCTCTAAATTTATTTTCATAGTTATATCCCCAGGAACTCACACACAGTAGGCATTTAATAAATGTTTGTTGAATGGCTGATGTGCTTGTGTTATTTTATTACACTGATTACAGCAATGTATTATAATAATTTGCTGTAGTGCTTTTAGGGTGATTTAGACATCATTATAACGGAATATTCTCTTTCACTGCCAAGGAGAGGACATCACTAAAGGAACAATCTTCAGAGAAAGGTTTCTGCAGATGGAGCTCTCCAGGTGGGGTTGGACATTGGAGAGGCCAAAGACCAGGGAATGCATGAAATGATTTCATGTGATGATGAAATGATTTAAAGCAAATGGTCACAGCTCTTTGCAATTAGTTTCCAAGGTAATTGGCACTGGGGTCCTGCCTGGGCCTGGCTCTCTCTTCAGCTGTAAACAGTCAGGTCAGTGGCAGAACACACCAGGCTGCAGTCTGGAGCCCTCGGACATTCAGGAGCATTGTTCTCGTCTCTGTCCCTCTCTGCTGCGTGCAGCCCTCTCTCTGGGAGTCAGGGCAACTCCAGAAGATCTACAAATGAGAGGCTGTTGTGTCCCTGCCCACTTAAACACGTTCACACTCCCCATGCCCCTTCCTTCAAGACGAACCTTCACAAAGGTCCACCCAGCGCTAACCCAGCGAGGACAGTATTGGGAAACAGAGAACGGTATTCTTGACTGTCTTTTGAATTTGTTTTTAATTAACAGGTATTAATTGTAGATACTAATCTACATTCGGGTCAACGTCTTGTTTTTTGACTTCCACGTCTTAGTGAGAACACGTAATACTCGTCTTTCTACATCTAGCTTATTTCACTACACATAGTGTTTCCCTCCAGTTTGATCATTTTTGCTGCAAATGATAAGATTTGAATTTTCTTTATTCTCTTTATCCATCCATCCATTACTGGATACCTGGGCTGATTCCACATCTTGTCACAACAAACACGACTGTGCAGGTGTCTCTGGGTGTGCTGATTTCCTGGGGGACTGCTGGGAGGGAGGAAGTATTGTGGGTGTACTTGTGTGTTTTGTGGAAACTTCATACTCTTCTCCGTAATGGCTGGACTAGTTTACTTCCCACCAGCCACGTGTGAGAAATACTTTTGTTCCACATCCTCACCAACATTCGTTTTTTATTTATTTTTACTTTAGAATTGCCATTCTGACTGGGGTAAGATGTAAGATCTTATTATAGTTTTGATTTGCATCTGATACTCTTTTGTTGTATTGAATACTAGCATATCCCCCTATCGGTTTAGTTGATTTGGGGTGCTACTCTATAATTGCCGATTTACCTTCATGGCATTTTGATAGTTCCCTACATACTTACAAATACCTGTGTATAAAGTATGTGTAAACTATGACAGTGCATGAGATGAGCCTCAGATAATGCTCCATAGAAAGCACCTTCAAGAGGGCTTGAGGAAGCTGAATGCAGCACGAATGTGTCTGTTTCCAGGGCAGGCATCAAGTGACTTCTACCTGGGACTCAGGTGGAGGGAAGCCTGGCTGTGCCCTTGTGATGGAGGAAGAGGTGCTCCTCTGAAGAGGCCAATCCCACGATGTAAGAGGAGTCGCATGTGGCAGATCTTTGCTGAGAAGTGGTGAGAAGACTTCTGCACCCCCGATCCACAAGGCAGTTGGGCTGCTATTCCGAGTCCTGTAAGGAAGACCTCAGAGAGTCCTGTCAGATGCTCTGCTCCTGTTCAGGACTTTAGCGATGAGGTGCCCTGTCTCTCAGAGTGGAGAGGCACCGACGGCAGACTGCTTGAGGAAGAGCAGCCTCACAGCCGTGTGGGGAGAAAGCCAGAGGCACAGCAGACCAAGCATCAGCCAAGAGGCTGCTGCGGAGCCCACCTGGGCCTGGAGAGCTGTTCAGAAAGACCCAGGTCTCTGTGAAGGGGTCCATGCGCAGCCTGGAAGCTGGGGAATCTGGTCATTTGAGCAAAAATGTATCTGAATGGAAGCTAAGTCCCTTTGGAGACCATGGCTTTTTCTTTTTTTTTTTTTTTTTTTGGCATCTCCTTACTTCTCTAGATGGTTTCTGATTTTTTGCTCTTAGAAAAAAGTCATTGTCTTATCTTTATGCATAAAGCTTTTTCTATTTTTAAAAACTGCTTTATTAAAATATAATTTGTATACTATACAATTTACCCTTCTAGAATAATAATTCAGAGGTTTTTAGTACATTCAGCATTATGCAAACATTAATGCTTTCCAATTTTAGAGTATTCTCACTGTTCCCAAAAGAAACCCTCCACCTATTAGCACTCATTCTATGCAGTCCCTCTCCTCATCTTACAAAAACCACTCTCTACTTTCTATCTCTGTGATTCACTTATCCTGGACATTTTATCTACATGGAACCCAGTGAAATGTGGCCTCTCCTTTTACATGGCGTGATGTTTTCCAGGTTCATCCACTGTGCATTACTTCACTCCTTTTTATGGTTGAATACTATTTCATTGTATGGACATAGCACAACTTGGTCATCTGTTCATCAGCTCATGGTCATTTGTGTTTGCACTTTGTGACTCTTCTGAACGCCACTCTGACAATGTGAGCCTAAGCTTTCTGTGCATAAATGCTCTCAGTTCTCCTGAGGACGTATCTATGAGCTGAACTGCTAGGTCATACGGCACCTAGCAGTTTACCATCTGGAGGAGTGTTAACATTTTGCTAAACTAGTTTCCAAAGTGGCTGCCTTCTTACATAATCCCCTCAGCAGTGCAGGCTGTGCCACTCTGGACCCCTTCCACAGCGAGGATGGGCAGCAGCAGAACTCCAGAGTCTAAGGGCCTGTGCATTGTAAAGCTTGGTGCACAGGGCAACCTGCCTTGCAAGAGGTAGCACTGGGCATTTTTCTGAAAAATCTCCTTTGGCTTCATTAACGCATCCACCGCCTTCCAGACATAGCACAAGCTTCATTTAAATTCAGCAAGATTTATCTCAACTCGTCTTTGCGTTTGCTTTTTAGGTACCACCTGCATGTACCACCACCCTTACTCTCCATGCTCTGCCGAGAACTTCAAGTTCATTGCGAAACTTGGCTAGAGGTTTTCTCAAACACTCTTCCCCTGTGTGCGCCTTTAAGTTCCTTAAGGTCAGGTATCATGGCTTCAACTTCTGTTCTCTTTGTGCAGAGATAGCATGGCTCTGCATATAAAAGACACTCAGGAAGACCTTCTGACCAGTAATTTGAGAAGCATGTCAACTGGGTGAATGTTGCTCTGTTCAAATTATTGAGAAAGCTCTGAATAGAGGCCCATGCCTCTGGGTACTGTATTGTGACCACAGAACCACAGACAGCAGAGAGGCTGCCCATTTGGACTTCACAATTCTGCTAGGTCGTGGAAGAAGGCCACAGAACTCTCCCCAGGAGGCCCTTGCCGTGTGCCGGCCTCTTTGTAATCCGCTTTACAACTCACCCATTCAGTCTTCAAAGTGGGCAATGCAGACTTCAGCAACCACGTGCCATTGCTGTCATTTTACACCTGAGGCAGTCAACGGCAGGGAAGTAGAGTCTTCCAGGATGCAGTGGGACCCAAAGCTGGTTCTCATCTCACTGTAGTGGGACCCGTGAGGTGAGCACAGTCATTCAAATGTCAAGCCATGCTGTCAAAATGGCACAGAAAGGAAAATATTTCAAAGATGAAAGATGAGAGAAGCTTTATTCTTTTACTTTTTTCCATCAGCTCTGTTAAAGTTCTTTACCCTGGTCACATTTTCAGGTGATATCGTTGTCTTGTTATGTGGCTTTACTTTGCAAATGATCTCCATCTTGAGAAATTAGTACATTCAATTATCTTTTTTAAAAATTTGCTCAAGATTATGCATTTTTTTACTAATACATTGAGAGGGGTTTATGTAAATCATCTATGGATTAAGCATATACAAATCACTACCAACTGGGCTGGCTTGTATTTTTTCCAGAGTGGTACAACTACCAGCACTATCAAATTTTAGGATTTTTTTTTACCAACCCCCAAAGAATCCCTTACCTGTTAGCTGGCACACTCCCTCCCCTGACAACCACTAATCTACTTTCTGTCTCTTTGGATTTATGCATCCTGGACATTTCATATAAATGGAATCATTTACACAGGGTGTGATTTATAGACAATGTGATTTGCTGCAGTAGAATTCTCCTAAGCTGTAACAGGCTTTAATAACAAATCGGCTTAAACTTTGGGGGGAATCATTCCTACTAAAGATCCATCGGCAGCATAGTCCAGTGAGTGTCCAAGTTCATCTACTGGATAATCTCTTTGCACAACGTCTCAAGATCATGTAATGGCTTCTTTATTCTGTGACCTGGTTCATTAGAAAGTGAAAGTTTCTCATTTTCTCTGGGCTTCCTTTATTTCTGGTTAGAATCTTTCCAGCATTTATCATTTCCCCGATTCTCCTTTTAGATGTATTGTCCATAGTTTGTCATGCTGCTGTCTTCCTTTTCAGGTTGAGATCTCTCTTGTTGGCAGCCAGAAACACCTGCTGGAGGACAAACTATCCATGCAGTGCTGTCAGTGGTGACTCACTGTCCCCAGCTCTGCTGGCTGCCTATCAGCTTTTCAACGTCCGGGGTTAATCACCAGAGTCGTCTCAGTGGGCTGGGGGATGCTGCCACCACCAGGGAGCTAATGCGAGTGTGGCTTCGTATGTGTCTCGACACTCTCTGTACTCTTTGCACGC